TTTTTTTTTTTGAGTTGGAGTCTTACTCTATCGCCCAGACTAGAGTGCAGTGGCACACTCCCGGCCACTGCAGCCTCGACCTGCTGGGCTCCAGCAATCCTTCCAAGTAGCTGCCTCAGTCTTCCAAGTAGCTAGAACTACAAGCACGCCCTACCATGCCCAGCTAATGTTTGATTCACTGTAGAGATGAGGTCTCGCCAAGTTGCCTGGGCAGGTCCCAAACTCGCTGGCTCAGGCAGTCTTCTCACCTCAGCGTCTCAAAGTGCTGGGATTATAGGCGTGAGCCACCATGCCCTGCAAGCGAATGTGTTTTATTGAGCAGGCTCTGTGTAGAAATCACAAGACAGGCTGTTGGAATCCTTTATGAGTCCAGTGGTTCAAGACCAGCCTGGGCAACTTGGTGAGGCCTCATCTATACAATAAATCAAAAAATTAGCTAAGTGTTGTGGTGCTTGCCTATAGCTCCAGCTACATGGAAGGTAAGGTAGAAGGATCTCCTGAGGCCATTAGGTCGAGGCTATGGTGGCCGTGAGCATTCCACTGTACTCCAGCATGGGCGACAGAGTGAGACTCCAACTCAAAATTAAAAACAAACAAACAAAAATGTATCTTTAGCCAGGAACAGTGGCTCAAGTCTGCTCGGAGGCTGAGGTGGGAGGATTGCTTGAGGCAACATAGCAAGACCTTGTCTCTACAAAAAAAATCAAAAAATTAGCCAGATGTGGTAGAATGCAGATGTAGTAGTCCCAGCTACTCAGGAGGCTGAGATGGGAGGATCACTTGGACCCAGGAAGTTGAGGCTGTGGTGAGACATGATCGTGCCACTACATTCCAGTCTGGGTGACATAGTGAGACCCTGACTCAAAAGACAAACAAACAAAAAAACCCCATGTCTTTTCTGGGTCTTCTCACCAGGCTGGCTGCCCTAGCACAATGTTCAGATGGGGGGCACAGAAATCCCAAGAATTGCCACCTAATGATATATATTCCCATCACTGGGAAGGAAAAAAGTGCACCCACCTAGTCACGGGCAGGGAACCAGCTATGGGCTCTTTCTGGGGCAACCAACTGGCTGCAGCCAGTAGCAGGAGATTGTGCTCCAAAAACCCCACTGCAATTGTCTGTGGCCAGGGCTCCACTACTGTAGGAGAAGATAAAAATCAGCCAGTTTAAAAACAAAGGAAGCAGATGCATTCTAAGAGTTTCGATGTCATGAGTGCCAGTATTCCTTGTGTGAGGTATGGATGCTGTGACCCTTTTGCCAGCATGGCTCCCTGCATGACTCGCTGGGCTTCAGCCTACAGTTGGAGGGAAAAAGCTGGAACAGGTCACCTGGAGGAGTGACAGTCTAGGAAGCTTCCTCAAAGGGTATCCGGGGCAGGCATGGTAGCTCATTCCTATAATCCCAGCTACTTGGGAGGCTGAGGCAGAAGGATCGTTTGAGTGCAAGAGTTCTAGGCCAGCCTAGGCAACACAGCCAGACCCCATCTCTACCAAAAAAAAAAAAGGTCGTTTGGGTAGAGGAGTTTTTAGTGTAAAGAGGGCCTTGCAGGGAGAGAGCCCAGGTCCCATGACAGCTGAGTGGGTGGCACTCATGCTGGGGTGGGAGGTCTGCTGGGGAGCACAGGGCCCTGACTGCTGGGGCATGGCTGGGTCTGCCAAGAGAGGAGATACGATGGATAGGCAGCGTGGGGATGCTGCTGGCCACCTGTCAGCTCTGCCACCTCAGTCCCAGGTGCTTTCCTTTCCCTGCAGGACGCTGAAGGGGAAACTGGCCCGGCAGCACCCAGAGGCCTTCAGCCGTAAGTGTCACCCAGGGCTCCTGCATCCCCCATCTGGCCCCTGTTCCCAAGGACGTCAGCACCTCCTCCCAGAGCTGGCTTCCCCAGGGGCTGCCACCAAGCCCAGGCCCTGGCGGGCAGTGGGTCTACAGAGGTAGGGGAGGTATGGGGCCTGGTCCTCTCTGTAGAAGCTCACACTGGGGAATGTGACAAGAACAGTGATGATCTTTGTTCCAGTGTGCACCACATACCCCATGAGCCTGGCTGTTACCCACAACCACTCATGATGGGGGCCATGAGTATCCCCATTTCACAGAGGGGAAACTGAGGCCCATAGGGGAAGTGACTTGGTCAGAGGATGCATAGCCAGAAAGGGCAGAGCACGACTGGAGTTCATGTCTGTCTGGCCAGAGAGCTCGAGCAGCCTCTGAGTTGTCACTGTGTTGCCACCGCCTCAGAGGGTTCCCCATGCTAAGACTTGGTTTACCCCATCTGGTAGATGGGCCAGCAGCGCTCCATCCCAGGGCTGCTGACAGCAGTCCACAGGAGCTGTGGTGAGGCATGTGAGTTGCCTGGCCCAGGTCAGACAGTGTCACGGGGAAGGAACAATAGAACCAGGCTCACCCGCAGAGCCAGGTCAGCCAGCCCCAGAGCCTCACCTCTCCTTGAAAGTGAGGCCTCTCAGTTTCCTCCTCTGTAAAATAGGCCACGTCATGCCCCGTGGAGTGGGGCAGCTGTCAGGGTCACATGTCCCACAGCACAGCGCCAGGCAAGGCGACTGAACCAACTCCTGGGCCTCCTTCCCTTAGACATCCCAGAGGCGTCCCTCCTGGAGGACGAGGACGAAGACCCCATCCCGCCCAGCACCACCACCACCATCGCCACCTCAGAACAGAGCACAGGCTCATGTGACACCAGTCCTGACACTGTCTCGCCCTCCCTCAGCCCTGGCTTCGAGGACCTGTCCCACATCCGGCCCAGCTCCCCTGCCATCAATGGCCGGAGCCAGACAGATGATGAGGAGACTCCGGGCGAGGAGTCCCAGTCTGGTGCCTCAAGGGCCTCAGGGCGGCCCTTCCCAGGTGTCTTGGGTGGCAGTGGCTCACCTGCTTCGCCATAGTAGCTTTGCTGCCCTGTTCTGTCATCCAGGGCTCCTGGGGGACAGAGTCTCTCCCTCGGGCTGTGGAATTCTAGGGAGTCTTTAATTCCGGCTCCTTCCTCCCTCAGAACATCTACTGCAGACTCCTCTGCCATGCCAGGGCATGCCCATCCCAGCGGGAGTCGTGGGGCTGGGCACAGGGAACTTTTCCAGAGCTGGCCTGAGGTCTACTCTGAATCCTACTGAAAAGGCTCCCAGAGACCAGAGCCAGATAGCCCCCAACCCCTGGTCAGGACCTCCTTGAGGTGAACAAGCACTGTCACGTCCAAGATCCCCCCCAGCCCGCCTCTGCACCTACGCATTCTGGTTTCCCTGCCCCTTCCTCCCACAAAAGTATTGAATGCTGTCTCCGACTGGTATCTCGAAGTTGTGAGACAAGTAGAAGGCTCGAGATGGAGGCTAGCTATCCATTCAGTCCAAACCTGGTGAGGCCTATGTGTCTCTAAATAGGTTTGGAGCCCAGGACCCAGCAGGCCTCTCCCAGGATCCCCCAGAGCAAGCCAAGCCACCTCGGAAAAGAGTTTAACGGAATATTTTTGTACCTGATGTTTACAGATGCTGTTGGGAAGTTATCAATAAAAAGACTCCGTTACTAAAAAGGCAAGAGCACCTGGCCGTGGTTTCCTTCATCCTTGGGGCAAGCAACGCAGAAGGTGGCCGTGTGCTGGATGAGGGACAGGGGGCCCTGCCAATGGCAGACAGACAGGCACCACTGGGCTAGAGAGAGAGAGGCTGCTCCTGCTGCCCCAACAAGCCAGGTTCTCATCACCACCTAGGTCCTCGCACGTGCTGCTTCCCTGGCTTACAACACCGTTCCCGCACCTTCTTGAATAATTCTCCGGATCTCAGCCCTAGAGTGAACCCCTCAGGGAGCCACACTGGGTCCCATTCCCCATCAGACACTCCCACAGCCACCTCATCTTTGAAGCACTTAGATATTACATTGTCAGCTGGGCCCAGTGGCTCCCACCAGCACTTTGGGAGGCAGAGGTAAGAGGACTGCCTAGGCCCAGGGTTTGAGACCAGCCTGGGCAACATGGCAAGACCAAGACCTCATCTCTACAATTAGTGAAAAAATTAGCTGGGAGTGGTGGCGCACACTTATAATTCCAGCTACTTGGAAGGCTGAGGGAGAAGGATCACCTGAGCCTAACAGGTGGTGGCCATAAGTGTGCCACTGCACTCCAGCCTGTCTGGGTGACAGAGTGAGACTCCAAGTAAAAATAAAAATAAATGAATAATGTTGTCAAAGGCATCTGCCCAGACGCAAGTGTCTGCTCTTACCTGGAACATAGTAGTGCCAGGAAGTGCTCAAGGAATGAAAGAGGTTCCCTGCCAATCCTTTTTCTGCACCTGGCACTTTTTTTCTTCCTTGAGTCAAGGTCTCAGTATGTTGCCCAGGCTGGAGTGCAGTGGCACACTGATGGCTCACCACAGCCTCGACCTCTTGGGTTCGGGTGATCCTTCTGCCTCAGCCTCCTGAGTAGCTGGGACTACAGGGACGTGCCACCACACTTGGCTAGTTTTTTTATTTTTTATAGAGGTAAGGTATTTCTGTGTTGCCCACCTTAGTGTCAAACTCCTGGGCTCAAGCAGTCCTCCCAAGGGCACTTTTTATTTTTATTTTTTATTTATTTTTCTTTTTTGAGTAAGAGTCTCACTCTGTCACCCTGGCTGGAGTGCAGTAGCACACTCATGGCCACTCGACCTGTTGGGCTCAGGCGATCCTTTCACTTCAGCCTTCCAAGTAGCTGGAACTACAGGCGTGCACCACCACGCCTGGCTAATTTT